AGTGCTTTGTAACACAAAACAACAGCCCCTCTGATAAGTGCTATTATTATCCTTATTTTACAGATGAGAAAACTGAAGAACAGAGAGTTAAGTAACTTGCTCCAGGTAACTGGTGAGGACTGAACCTGGACTCAACCATTCAATCTGACTCAAGCTCACCCTGGGCCTTACTAATGTGTACAGCTGAGGCAAAGTCCTTTCTGGACAAAGTCCTGTCATCCTCCACACAGACTCTAATGTGGGTCCTGCACTTATAGATCAGAAAGCTAGAGCTTTAAAACCTAAGGGCTCCCCAGGGCACACTGCAGGGAAGAGCAGAGGTTCCGAAACAGGGGGCCCAGGGCTGGAGCATCCCCAAGCAGCCCCAGCATGGGTGCTTGGGGACCCTGTCCTCTGTCATTCTGCCCCTGGCTAGCTGCTCTGATCGAGGTCAGCAAAACACGAGCCCATGTGTCAAATTCGGTCTGTTTTTGTGTGGTCCTTGAGCTATGGATGGTCTTTACATTTTTAAATGGTTGGAAACAAAGCCAAAGAAGAATAAAACTTCATGACATGTGAAAATGACGTGAAAAACAAATTTCACTGCCCATAAATGAGGTTTTATGAGAGCACAGCCATGCCCATTCATTTACCTATGGTCTGTGGCTGCTCTTGCCCTGTGATGGCAGAGTTGGGTAGTTGAAGTGGAGTCCACCTGGCCTGCAAAGCTTTTAAGTATTTACCATCTGGCCCTGGTCTAGCCCACCCTGCCAGCCAGTGCAGGAATCCTCTTCACAATCTTCCTCCCTCCAGCCTCTGCCTTCACACCTCCAGTGGTGGGGGGCTCACTACCAAACAAGGCCCCGTGCTCCACCTCTGAAAGGCTCTAGGGACAGCTATTTATACTGGCACCGAACTCCTCGCTGTAACATCACACTCTGCCCTCGGGGCCTTGCACAATCAGTTCCAGCACTCTTCCACAACAGCCGTCAGTTTCTTTCCTCCCTGTAGTAGCAACTCTTCCCTGTCCCTATCTGGCCCCTCTGTTGTTCCTCACCAATCCTCTGGGAGGCAGAGGGAGGTGGTGGCACCTCTATGTTACAGACAGGAGATGGGCAAGGGAGAGGGAGCAGGACACAGGTAGGGAAAGAACCAAGGCTGGAACTGGTCTCCCGCCTCCCGGCCTGCTGTCTCCTCAGTAACACCACTGGAGTGTCCACTTTGGTTTCCAGCCCATCACTCCCCAAATGGCCCCTTAGGGGCCCACGGTGTTCTCTCATTTCTATGATTCCTTCCTGTGGCTCCCTTGGCTTGGCCTTTGTGGACCAAGGACAGCTCTCCGACTTTTCCAGCTCTTCCCTCCTCTCCAGGGCTTAGTCTAAGGCTCTGAGCTCCTCTCCCCTCACATTCAGCTCCCACCACCCCAACTACTGAGCCTGGTCCCTAGGGACTGCCCCTGTTTACAGCCTCTGATACCTGAAGCTTGCTTTCATCAATCATTTGGGATTCAGACTCAAAATGCCAGGGGTGGGCTGATAGCCACAAACGGAAAATGGCATTCTTGGGTTGATTTCTGACATCTGTCTATAAAACACAGCCAGTAAGATCTGCCCTCAGACAACACCTGGAAAGGGTTTTGAAATCCTTGAAAGAAGAGGGCTGTGACAATACTGCCTACTCCAAAGGATCTGGAATTCTCTCAGCTCTGGGCTGCTGCCCTTGGGAAGCTCTCCTACTAACAGACAAGGGTGAGTGATCTGCAGGTGTGTGCAGACCCACGTGCACATCCTGCTCTGTGGGTAGAACAGTAACTGTGGATCTTGGAGGGTTGAACTAATATAAATTCAGAATAAGCATTGAGCAGCCAGTGGTAGCGTGGTGAGGGTGCAAGAGAAGACCCGGGTCTAGATTCCAACCCTGAGTAGCTCTGAAACCCTAGGAAGTGATACTTGTCCTCAGACTTACTTGTACTGAAATGAAAAAAAAAAAAAAAAAAACTAGCAAGATTGTGTAGGGACACCATGAAGAATAATACCTAGGATACTAGCATAACATCTGGCAAATGGTATTCGTTCACAAAATGTTACTTTCCCTTCCTCCTTTTTTGCCTCCTACTACATATGTACCAGGCACCATGCTAGGTGCTGAGGGTCTGGATAAATAAGGTACATTTCCTGCTCTCAAGAAGTTCAGTCTGGCCAGGGAGCCAGACATGCACAACTACCAATGGAATGGAATAGTCGGGTATCAGTGTGACGATGACAATGATGGCAAGAGCCACACACTCACACTGTGCTAGGCGCTCTTTGGAGACTCTTTCTTCATTCTCACAAGCGCCCTGTGAGGGAGATGCTGTTATCACCAACATGCTATCAAGGAGGAAACTGAGGCTCAGAGCCCAAAGTCATACAGTGAGGAGGCCCGAAGACCTAGCATGACCGGTGAGTAAAAAAGCAATGGCTGGATCTGAAGAGGTCATGGAAGGCCTCGGGGAGGAGGTGATGATGCCCTGAGCTTTGAAGGATGAGCCAGAGCTCCTCAGTGGGGGAGAGGAGCAGGTACTGCAGGCAGAGGGATCAGCAAGCATAAAGGGGTGTGTGTGGGGGGGGGATGGGAACTTTGTGAGTTGAGTGACACTCACCCCCGATCAGCACCATTAGAACTCACTGTCCTTAGGGATGCCAATTCTGCAAGGCTCTACTCTCAACAAGGTCATGGGAGTCGGCAGGCTTGGGAAGAGATTATTTTACTCCTGCAACAAAGAGGGGCCTGGTTTACAGAAATACAAGCAGCTAGTACTAGGGTATCAGTAATTACAACCAATGAGCAGTTGTGCTTCCAAAGAGCAGAGGTACTTCCACCTTATCTACAAAGGAATGTGGAATACTGGGGGGATTAATTCAAGTGGCAGATACTCTTCATTCCATTCTACTTTTGGAGTCTCTCCAGGTTTGGTTGAAATTTTAGTGGCATCGGCTTTGCTATCAATTCACTGGGTCTTGAGAGAGTCACAGCCTCCACCTTTCCCTCTCCCGGCCTCAGTTTACTCCAGTGTAAAATGAAGGGATAGGCTAGAACAGAGGTTTTCAACATGTGGTCTCCAACTCAGCTGCCTTAGCATCACCTGGGAACTCGTTAGAAATGCAAATTCTGGAGTTCCACCCAGATCTGCAGAGTCAGAGGTAGGGAGATGTAGAGCAGCCATCCCTGCTTTAACAAGCCCTCCATGGAATTCTGATGTGAACCACTGGGTTAGAAGATCCCTAAGGTGAGGCTCTTTCAGCGGTAAAATTCGGCCTGTGCTCTAAGGTATTATGATTCAGTAGTATCCCCTTTGGACAGAAGTATTTCTAGCCCAAGAAAGGCAACCCTTCAGGGTGAGAAGAGAAGCTAAGTTTTCTTTGACCAGTTGAAACCCAGAGCCCAGGTGAGCTTTTTCAGTAAGCCTCAGGAATACATGGCTCACTCTGAAGGCAGATCTTTTATTTATTTGTTTGTTTTTAAGTTGTAAGTCTCAAACTTGGCATGTGATAAAAGTAGTGGTAACTGTAGTTGGAGGAAGAAAGATGAGAGGAGAGCTGCCTGCTCTTCTCAGCTCCAAACCCATGACTCACTGTGGGGTGTGTGTGTGGCCTGGGGAAGGCGGGGGTCGTCTAAGAGGGCAGTTCCTCTCCCCGGTCCAGGAGCTTCCTGGTGTTAACTCCTGGTCTGCCACCTCCCCCTTGGAGAGAATTGATTACAAAACCTCAGAAGAGCCACAAACGGCCGGTGGCGTTACAACACAGCACTGGGGTGACAGACTTTAGACAGGTTTGGCTTTCAAGACAGTAAGAATAAAAAGAATGTCTTCTTTTAAAGATCTAGTTTTCCCAGTCTGGACATAAGGCTAAAAGTTATCAGAAAGATGAAGAGATCATTTCACAGTAATGCCATGGGTTCTTCACGCAAGAAGGGGGCACACCCAGACTGTCCCTGGAAAAGCGTCGGCTGTTTGGGCCATGGCCTTTGGGGCCTTCCTGCGTTGGTGCCCCTGAACGAGCAATTTCCAGGGATTCCTGGCCATCACTTGGTGGTATCTCAGTAACAACGATAATAAATATTACAACATTTTTAAATATAGCATTGGCCACGTGCCGGGCGCTCTTCCAAATATTTCACATTTATTAACAAATTTAATTCTCGCAACAAGCCGACGGAGGTACGGACCATTATTACCCACAATTACAGGCGAGGAAACCCCGGCCCAGAGAGGCTATGTCACAGAACTGTGCCTCTCCTGTCAACAGGTGCAAAGGACCACAGACCAGCAGCCAGGAGTCAGGAGCCCCGGCAGGAGTGCTCGACTGCCCCATCTACCTAGAGACGAGGGAGGATGACCCGGCTGTTTTTTAAGATCACTTTCGGCTCGGAGATTGTGCGAGCCTGCGCCGGACCATCCGACGCCGGTCCGTAAAAGGAGCCAAGGCGGGCTCGTCCCGGAGAACCGGGTCTATAAGGCGTGGCGTCCTGGTCGGGCGGTCTCCGGTGCTGGGTCCCTCACTCAAGTCTCCCCGCAGACGCCAAGCCCTGGCTCCCCGGTCCTGGGAGAAGGAAATTCTAGCCTTCTCAGGTGTCCATGTCCGGAGAGCCAAGAAGGACCTGCCAAGAGCCCAGGTGGCGGGACCCAGGCTGGGGAAGCACGCGAGACAGCCCAGCAGCCCCACGACCGCCAAACACGCAGTCCCTTTAACCCCGTAAACTTTCTCCCTCGATTCGGGACCCCCGGCAGACGCACATTGGCTGGGCCGCGGCCGTCCAGACCCGCCCTTCCTCTTTACCTATTGGCTGCCGTAAGCATCCATTACAAGTCGAGCCCTCCTAATGGCCCAGATCTTGTCAATCAAGGGTGGGCGGGGGACTGGGCGGGGAACGACACGGCAGGCTCGTTGCCCTCCCTGCCTCACTGGGGACCTGGAGGCGCCTGTGGGACAGAGACGGGTGCAGAGCACCGGGGCAGGCTGTGCGGGGCTCCAGGGACTCACCGATGCGTTGTCCCACCGGAGAGCTGAAAGGGTTCCCCAGGAGAAAGTCCATCGCTGCGACTGCCGCTGCCACCAACCCTGGGAATCAGCTGACAGCAACCGCCAGCGCCGCCGACCCGTCACGTGACGCGCCCGACGGCCCGCGGGGCGGTGCCGAGGAACTCCGGAGCTTGGCCGCAGGCCCCGCCCCGACGCGCAAGGGTCCGGCCCCGGGCGAGGGCGATGACCTCACTGCGCCTCACTCGGCGTCGGCGGACGTCACGCACGGCGCGTGGCCGGGGCGGGGCCTGGGAGGTCGGGCCCCCCTAAGCCACGCCCCTGACGTTATTTAAAAGGATTTCTAGAGCATAGTATGGTCTCTATACATCTGGGAAACTGGGTCTCAGACCAGGGAAATGACTTGGGTAAGGTCACACAGAAGCCCAGACTCAGTGTCTTAGCTCTTAGTCCTTGGGACCTCACTGTGACTGCATACCTGCCTACTCCTGGGGTTGACATCCTCTCTGGGCCTGCTGTCTCCCTGCCTGGGTATGACTCTTCTATTTGATGTCGAGGTCTCCCTGCTCCAAGATGTTCCCTGCTTGCAGCCCAGATTCGCTTGCCTCAAACGGCAGGCAAGGACTAGGGGTTTGTGATCCCTTGAGACTGACAGCCAATTTAATGAATTGCAGCTGGGGACCAGCTAGTGCCCAGGATGGCAGAAAGCACGCAGATGTAGTCACGTGTGGGAACTCTGGTACCCACCTCTGACATTAATTTGCTGTGTAAGCCAAACAGAGAGCTCCCATTTTCTCTGGAATGTATTTTGTAGGTCATATGCTCCTTTGAGAATTTGAAAAAAGCCATGAGCCTTTCTGAAGAAAAAAAGGCAGCAATACAATTTTGCTTATAACCTCAGGGAGTTTCTGGACCCCACTTTAAGAATTTCAAAGGCCTTTCCCAGCTTTGTGATTCTAATCTCTTCTTCAGGCGTCCTGGCTGTGTACCCTGTGTCACATGTCGCCTACACCCTAGATACCTACTTATTGGTTAGGATTTTTTCTTCTGACATGTACTCCAAAAAAATACAATTACCACAGCCTTGGTCATCTGTGCTACTACAGGGTACTTTAATATTTATTGATTATGATGTTTGTGATTTTTAAATCTAAAAGGCTAGTAAATTGACTCTGTACACATTTTAGATGACTGAAAACCTAAATTAGAACTTAAATCACTTCTGTACGTTCCCTTGTTTGAGCAGCCATGGGGTCTTATGTCTTTACTGTACATATAAAAACTGTGCTTTGAAGTGTTTCCATGATGCTCATGAGACAAATGCCTTTTCCCCCACTAGTCCAGATGCTCCATGAGGGCGGGGATACTATGTCTATTTTGCTTATCACTGTTGTCTAGCAATGACTAGCATATGAAAATTTAAATCGATCTACCTTTCATTAACGGTATTTGGACTATAAGGGGGGTTGTACATTTAAGATGACCTTTATGTCAGGTACTTTCCATGGTCTTTCTTCATATAACCATATTGCTTGGTTGTATGGAGTATATTTAGCATGAACTTCTTTTGGATTCTTCCATTAACATTAACTTTTAGCATCCCCATGTTGGGTGGTGGTTTGCTAGAAGTTCTTGTAAGCCTTATTCTTCATGGTAGAAAATCAGAAACAACCCATATACCCCCCAAATAGGAAGTGGACCATGCAAATAGAATACTATATAGCTATTCAAACAGAAATGAAGTACGTGGATTTTATCAACACAGTAGACAAGGATGTAAATGGCAAATATTAAGTTAGTATAAACCTGATTAAAACTATGTTTTATAAGTGTGCTAATAAGGAACAAACTCATTTAGTAAAAATTTCCATTTACTTTTTCCTTTTAAGTGTTTTAGCCATATTAATATCATGCCTTACTAAGGGTCCCTTGAGATTGACAGTCTGTATAAATGTCATCTATTATGTCCTTTAGGCACTTATAAACAAAAATCAAGATACACTACCTCCAAAATTTAAAGACAATAGTATGACAAGAAAAGTAAAGCCAGTTGGACATTTGAATAATGCGAAGATCTCAGATAGCTTTCCTACAATCACATTCACTCAGGACTGTAGATAATGGATTCTGATGAATTATATACATGATTTAAATTTGAAAGTAGCTTAGGTTAGAAAGAACCTAGGCTTTGGGGTCAGCTGTACAAGTGTTCTTATTCTGGCTTTGTCATTTACTAGCTGTATAAATTTAGGAAAAGTGCTTTTCAGCATCTTTCTCCTAATCTGTAAAGGGGAACAATATAAGGCTTTGGGGAGGATTAAGTGAGATAAAGTATGCAAATCACTCTCTTTAGTAGTCATTTAGTGATATGTTGGTCTCTTTCTTGCTTCCTCTCCGTAAGATGTTAGCCTTTTAATTGATCATATTATTATTATTATTTTTTAAATTGATCATATTACTTCACTATTTATGACTTTTAACACCTTGAATCTGCATTGAAATTTTTACTTTGAAAAGTCAAACAAATTCCCATATATTCAATGTCTGTAATATTACTAAACATTCATGCCAGGCTGGCTGCAGGCCTGGAGACAGAGAGGTGACATTAACACTATTTCACAGATGGGACTTTGAAAGCCTGTAAAGGTTAAGTGACTTATCTAACATCACTGACTAAGGACAGTGCTGAAACAGCATGAGATAAATCATATTTACCACATGATGTAGGTGCAACTCTTACACAAGACTGATGAATATTTTCTTCATTTAGGCCAACACCATAATGTACGTAGTTCCAGTTGCCAATAAATAAAGCCACAGTTATCAGATTCACTGGATTTGCAATTTGGAAAAGAGAAAATGAAAGTCTCTACAACATAAAAATTAATAGAAACAGAGTAAGATTTATGTCAGAAAAATGGCTAATATTAGAAACTTGACCTCTACTCCAGGTTGATTTTTTTTTTTTTAAGAGAAAATTATGGTACGATACAGTATGAAAAACAGGTTTTATAATTTCATAGCAACTATGATTAGCACAATTAGGGAAAAGACAGCTGAGACTGGGCTACAAATATTAAAAATGTGATTTTTAATAATATAAGTACAAAATTTTATTTCTTTATACAACTGTAACAGGATTTGGATCAAACCACTAGAATTTATTTAAAAAACAAAATAAAACAATGATATAAAAACTGCAAGAAGGTCTGAATCCAAAGTTTTTCCTCTAATAGTACCAAATACCACAAGGTACAGATTATCATACAAATGTGTACAAATTTAAATACAAATACAATAGGGCTGGGTTTCAAAGGAAAACAAACAAACAAAAAGCAGGTCCTCATCAGGATTTCATTAATGTATACAAATGACAATGGTAGGACTGACTTCTTGTACTGTTCATGTCTTCCAGACCCCCACTAGCTACCTGGTATCAAACAGGAAACTCCCACGGGTACGAATGAGGCATGGTATAAGGTCCTAACACATGAAAGCAAGCTAAGATTTCTGCTCTTTTTGATTTTGGTTTCCAAACACTCCTGTTTCCTTCTGTTTCCCCAATTAAATCTCAAACCTGCTCTGAGCTGAGACAGGGCTTCAGCAGCCAGAATACCTTCAAGGAGCATAGCCCTGTGACAACACCGGTGGGAGAAGGGAAGGAATTAAATAGGACGCAGGCTGGCTGCACTGTCCCCAGAGATTTACTTTGATGCTGTAGTGCTCTGTCTAGGCCAGAAGAAGAAAGCACAGTTACCCCAGAGCTTGGTTTTGGTAGGGAATCTCACACCAAATTTAAAAACAACCCTGAAGTGCTCAACTGTCTCCTTTCCAACTGGGAATCAAAAGTCAGGTTCTTTGGAAATAAGGGCAGTTGAGAATGGTAAAATTCCTTTTTATTTTACTTTCTTGACATTATTGAAGGCCATGAAGTTCTTTATAAAGAATTAGAATCCTAATATAATGATTGCTTTTTGATACCTTAATATGCAGATGATTTGGAGTTTTCAGAACAGACTAGAGGAAGGAAGGGAGAAATGACAAATCTGCATCTTCCACATGCTGTTGCTGGTGGAGGCTTTTGTTATTTAAATTATATATACAGAAATTTACAGGATAAATTAAAATCTAAGAGATTTTTAAAGAGTTAAATACACATAATTGAAATACACATTCACACACGCACATAAATAAACCTACATGAGAACTGAGTACTTTTTTTTGCAATTCGCTTATATGTGGAATGCAGAACACTGTGTATCTGCCCACCAGGGGAACCCATAAGATGAATGCAAGAATCGTGCTGGGCAAAGTTTATCCACAACAACCAAGCAACTAAGTAGCAGCTTATGAGGACTTGGTGGCTAACTTAATGTTGCCAGTGAAAGATACCAGCTCTTGGTGTTGCAGATCAAATATTCTGGGTCAGCTCAGAACATATGTAGGTTCAACTGGTGGCACTGACAACTTTACCCATTTCAAGGTATTTTTTGCTGCCAGGGCTCACATAACTCCTTGGCCTCTACTGAGGCTACCAATGGTACCAATGATTATAATAAATTTTGAGACATGGACACCTGTATAGCAGGCATCAGACTAAACCCCCTACTCAGTTCACCTAAGCCATCTCAGTAACTATCATGGGAATGATTTTATCATGTCCTACCTAGGTCACTTGAAATTGAAAAGCTCTGTAATTTCAGTCAACTGGCATCCTCCCATAATCTTTCCCATTACATTTCAGACTGTAAGACAGGTAAGGCAAATGGTCAGTGACGGGTCTGGAGGTCCAACTGAGTTTGGAAAAATAATCACATTTTAGCTGTCCATAAAGATGCGCTTGGCACCTGAACAAGCCCCCAGCCCCCATGTTACATTGATTTTTAAGGCAGATTTATCCACCGCAGGAAAAAAGAATCCCAGGCCCATATTCATGCTGAAGTTTCCTCTTCGCTAAACCTTTGCCATATCATAAAATTATTAAAAGCAAAGTAGTTACAGTCCTATGTATATATTGTACATTATATATATATGTATAGATATAAAAATTTAAAACCTACACCCAGAGGCCAGTGAAGGGATCTGGAACAGTCATATATACACAAACCAGCAATGGTGTAGGATAAGATTTCTGTCTCAGGAGTCTTTGCTGTCACAGTCCAGGCATGATGTAAGCAATGTTGTCTAGTGTGTTTGACTGCAAAACAAGGTAAAAAAGATTCAATTGAAGAGTTCTTTACCTTGGTTCCCTGAGACATGTTTCTTTGTTCAGGGAAGCGAGATGAGAAAGATAAAGTGAAGTTAGAAAAAATAGGGTGAGAATGAAGATGGCATCCAGTTGTTTGTTATGCTAGGAGCTTTTCTGCTGACTTCTCCCCCATTAATCCTAGTTAAAAGAGAGGCAGAAAATTCCTGAACTGTCTTTGTGTATAGAATGGCACACAGGAAACACAGGAGTTACAGTACCTCAATGGCTAGAATCCTTCTCTCCTAAGTACTGTTTTGGGAAATGGCATGTTTTCTAGTTTCACTGAAAGCATGGCATGTATTTAATAACGTAGTATCATGTTCCATGGGCTGACAGATGAAGGAAGCACCAGGTGCCACAAGCCTTACGAGCCTGTGCCTGACAGTGCTCATTAAGGTAGGGCTTCTCTGACTCCCAATGGATCTGGCTCTAAAAATCCAAGGAAAACAAGGAAAACTCACCAAGACCTGTTTGGGACAGCCATTCAATTCAGGTAGTTGTGTGGTCAGACACGCCAAGGGGCCAAGTGCACAGATGATGGAATCCAGAAGCACTGACAGACTACCAGACACAGCCACCATGCCCTGAAAAGGAGAGCATTAAAGGAGAGGAGAGTGTAACTCGAATCATACTGATGCTCTCTCCATGTTCTGGTTGGATTCCTCACATGGATCTTTAAATCCCGGGCAGTTCTAATCACGCAATATGAAACCTGCAGCAGAAATGGAAGTTTACTTTGATAACTCTGTAAGTTGTTTAAAAAGAAAACTTTTACAATACATTCCCAGGTTTCCTTTCTATATTCCCAACCTATCTTACCTTCTACGTAACCTTGGGGAGATCACATAACTCCTCTCTCCTTAAGAGGAATAGTGAAAAACGCTTTACCTACTCCGGAGAGCTGTTGGCAAGATTTGCAGGATCATGTATGCAAGGTATATCTATGATAAACTCCACAAATACAGCTGAAGTGTGATTACTCTGAGAATTCTACAACCCTGCATGTTAACATTTAACATACTTCTCCATGTATGTGGCTTTTGGTAGCTGATGATATCACTTTCTTAGGTTGACTTGTTCACTCTTGAAAAAAAGTGAATTTGGCTCATTTCAAATTTTAATGTCTTATATAATTCATATTGTCTATGTATTTGTGATTGAAAGAGATAAATGAGACTGCTTGCTATAAATGCTGCTGCCCAACTCTGGTATAATCTGCTTTAACTAGAAGCACTGTGACATTTAAGGAGGCAGCATAGCAGAGTCATTAAGAGAATGAACTCTGGACTTGGGCTGCCTGGGTCCAGATCCTGTCTCAGCCACTCAATGTTTCTGCACCGGGGCAAGTTGCCTGCTACACTGTGCCTGTAAAATAGAGCACAGATAGCATCTGCAGCACAGACGGCACTGAGATAATAAAGTACTTGGGATGGTGTCTAGTACATGGTAAGTACTTAAAAAATATCAGTAATTATTACTATTATTTCCAGTATCTTTATGTTCAAAATTGCATTTCTGGCTGTCTGCTGGGGCTCTCCTTTTGGATAGTTCTCAATCTCAACATGCTATAAAGAGGAATAAACTTCCCATCCAAATCCACCCCTCCTCCTAGCATCCATTTCTCCGCCAAAGTCACCACCCTTCACACAACGGCCTAGTCTCGGCCGTCGCTGACTCTTCCTTTCTCTCATCCTCCTTGTCCACCATCCTCCCTCTGCACTTTCTGAGGGCTAAACTCTAGAGCAAGTGACTTAACCCAAGTGTCTGTTTTTATTTCTATAAAAGAAGAGGAACAAAAATTCTGCCTCACAAAGCTACAGTGTGAATTACTTACATGAAATAATCCATACAAAGCACTCTGAACCAAAGCTGGCTGAGTAAGCATTCAATAAACATTAGTAATTAGTAGTATGTAATATTATTCCATTACCTTTGCCCTACAATTATTTATAGCCACTATCTTACGTCTGACTTTCTTAATGGATTCCAAGTTCCTTGAGGGCAGGAAACATGTCCATTCCTTCTTATGTCCTCCCAGTAACTACTAGTGTTCCACACATCGTAACAAAGAGCTAGCGGGTGTCAGGAGAGGCTTTGTGAAAGTGAGGTCCCATGGGCAACTTGAATTCACTCAGTGCTACTGAGTAAACTCTCAATACGCATTTGTTGAATTAAATTAAAATCTTTGTCATGTCTAGACTATTGTTATACATTGTTCCGAATTCTGGTCTCTTTTCACTCCCAATCTAAAATAAAAGATATCCTCAGAGAAAAGCAAATGAGAGCTCTGATCACATCCCTCCCCACTCTAAAAATCCCTGTAGTTCCTGAACAGCCAAGTATAAACACTACAGAGTATCCATGAAGACCCTCTGCAATTTGGGTTCTAGCCTTAATTTGCTACCTTATGCATTGTATGTTCCAGTTTTACTGCTAAAATGTTGAAACCTACTGTTTCAGCATTTTAGCAGTAAAACTCTTCTTCAAATAAAACCTTATATGCAACCCCAATATATAAAATAAGCTAAAAGATATGGTTAAAGTGGGGGACCTAGGCCTCAACGGGCTGCCTTTCATCCTTCTTTGCAAAAGATGCTGAGGTTGAGGAACAGATGGAATGTCTCTCTCCAACATCTCCATAGGACACAATCCTACTTACCCTGTAAGGTGCAGTTTGAATGCTACCTCTTTCACAAAGCCTCGCCTAATTCCCCCAAACTCTCTTTATTCTCCAATAGTATTTTAACTGCTTACGCTAGCACAGCATGACAAGATGAGAAGAGGGCTAGAAGTGAGGCGATCTGGACTGTAGGTCTGTCATGTACAGTTGTGTAAACTTGCAATATTCACTTCATTAGGCTTCAGGTATTCAATCTATAAATGAGCAAACTATCAATCAATTGTCCTTAAAGTGTGGTATGAGTTTCAGGTGACATATAGGTGAACATTAACTATTTTGATAATTATATATCCATTATGATGTTCATTAGAAAAAATGAGAATATGACCCTTGCAGTGGCAAGGACAACATTGTAAAAGGATGGATAAATTTATTTAAATAAAACTATAAAGTCAATAACAGTATAAATGGTATATAGAAATTGCAAAATTGTGGGGATATATGCAAATGAATAAATTCTGGGGAAAAGTGGACTAGAGGGAGAATGGGTATGGGGTTTCTTTTGGGGGTAATGAAATGTTTTGGCATTACATCGTAGTGATGGGTCCATAATTCTGTGAATATACTAAAAACCATTAAATTCTGTACTTTAGAAGGTGAACTTTATGGTATGTGAATTATATCTCAATAAGACTGCTATAAAATATAAATGGATAAGAGAATCTGCAAAGTCAGACAAAATATTAGCTATAATAATGTTAGTATGATTAACATGAAATCACAGAATATTTTATTCTAGAAATACCTATATCCATTCCGATACTGAGCCTATATGAAAGTGCTCAAGTTCTTTTGACACACGCTGAGTTTTTAGAAACTAGCCAAAGAACTTAAATACAGCTTTAACTCTTGTGGCCTTTGGCATTTTATTTAGTGAATAATAATTCAACTTTCACACAGAAGCAAGTGATTAGTTTTCTATTACTACACTGACTTCTTAGCTGAAAAATGGCTTTAGTAGCTTAGACTGATTTCTTTGCTGAAACGTGTTACTAGAGCTTGGTGCAATCCTGAACTACTGCTGTACTACTGAGTTAGCTAAGGAGGGAATATGGTTAGAAACTGAATATGGCAATAGAAATGGAACATGACAGCTTTGCAGGTTAAGTGATTCTGAAATTGAAGCTAAAAAGGACAAAGATCCCCTTAGGGCACATAGCGCTGTATAATTCAAGTGCAGAGTAACGAAGAGCTCGGAATCGCAACTTCCCCATTTGCTACCTATTTTCAAAGTAGAGGATCTCTTAATCCCCCATACAATCTAACCTGTCTATTCAAAACTTTGCTGGAAATGCACAGAAAAATTCAAACTCTCTTAGAAGTACAAGTGATCAAAACTGCTATGGGATTTGCACTTCTATTTTCTACTGTATTTTTTAAAAAATAAAAATAAGTTACAGGGCATTTTAACCTCTTTTTGTGCCACTGTTTCATTAGAATGGTAACAGTGTAAACTTTGAGAGCTAATAGGTAGATTCCAAACCTCTAGGTGTTTCCGCTACCATTATGTCTTCTTTGTCACTGCATCCTGAGTACCTGGCATAATTTAGCATAAAGTAGTTGTTCAATGAATGTACATGAAATGAGTGAATGAATTCAAATCATACGAGAAACTGGGGTCATGCTGCTGATGGTTGTACCCACCTCAGTTTCCTGCAGGCGGTGACCGATGAGGCTTAGGGACTCTCCCAACAGCTGAAGATGAGCAGCAACATCAATGGGCTCTGTCTCAGGTGCTTTGGCTGGCGAGGCTGGTAACAGCATGGTGGTGGGTGGGGACTTCTTTTGGGGTGACAGTACTCCTGCAGAAGCAGCTGAGAACAGAAGGATGAGGGAGCGACATAAAACTTGTCTACAGCCTTGAACAACACAAAAATGTTCTTCCTGATTTCCCCTTTTTATGAACTATACCAGGCATTCGCAAAACTATGGACTGTGGGCTAAATCTAGCCATGGTCTCTTTTTGTATGGCCTGTGAGCTAAGAATGGTTTTACATCTTTAAGGGTTGTAGAAAAAACAAAAAAGAATATGTGACAGAGAATGTATATGGCACACAAGGCCTGTAATAGTTACTCTCTGGAGCTTTATAGAAAAAGTTTGCTGACCTGCGATTTACATTTTCTAAATTTGAACAACTTTTTTTGTAGGCTGTAACATTCAGTAATAATTCCTGAGAATCAAGGTCTGCTTCTAATATAAGCTGCTCTCCCAATTTCCTAGTAAGGAAGCAAAATTCATAGTGCTTTAGAGAAAAGAATTAAAAGCAGGAGGGAGATCTGGTCACTACCTTTTAGTTTCATGGAACCTTCTGAACTGGATGCTTTTCTTTTCACAGTTGTAGCTTCTGCTTTGTTCTGTTTGTGCTGCAGATACTGAGCTTTTTGCTTCCAAATCTGCAATCACATCAGTGCACAATAAATTAAATAAATTAAAAAGGACCAAAAAGTAAAAGGGAAAGCAGTCGTGAAGGAACAAAATGAAGAAAAGAAAGGCAACAGTGGAGGGGGCAGACAGAGGGTTAATACTAACTTTTAAGGAGGGAGGTCACTGAATTAGCTTCTGACAGTTGATTACATTAATATCTTAGTAGAGGGCTATAAACATTGCCCAATGCCAGTGGTCAAATCTCAGTATTGATTTTTAGAGATCACCCTAAGGTTGAAATGTAAAATCACAGAGTAAACATCTGGCTCAGTATAATGTTCATGTGATTTAAATATTTCCTTTAACCTGCTGGTTGTCAATACCAATAGCAGGATAAACAATGACACGGAAAACAAAAACTAAGGATAATGTATCTGGGTGAAAAATAGCTGTTCAGCTAGATGAGCTGTACCTTAAAGCAAGATGGCAATTCTTGTGCCTATACTACCTTTATATCATCCAACTGGAAAGTATGAATGATTCAGATATGACTGTTTATTACTGTCTTATTACCTTCTTAGTAGTAGGGTACATTATTTGATAATGGTTGATGAGGATAGTGACCTGGTACCTGGTTACCTAGTAAGCATATTCCTATGTTTTTACTGTTTGCAGTGACTATTAAGTGGATAACTTTCCTCAGTTCTCAGACTGTGACTGACTATGACTACTAGGTATTTGTAGTAGAGGGCTCTGACTTTAAATTTTCTCTTAACACTTTATTTTTGATTGACTGATTGACTGAGACAGGGTCTTGCTCTATTGTCCAGTCAAGAGTGTAGTGGTGCAATCATAGCTCACTGCAACCTCAAACTCCTGGGCTCAAATAATCCTCCCCCTGAGCCTCCCAGTTAGTTAGGACTACAGACTGTGCCACCATAACCTGCTTGGTGGTTTTTTAAATTTTTTGTTGACATGGGGTCTCGCTATGTTGCCCAAGCTGGCAACACCTGGCCTCAAGTGATCCTCCTGCTTTAGCCTCCCGAAGTGCTGGGATTACAGATGTGAGCCACTATGCCTGGCCTTAATCACTTCCCTTTAGGTCATCTTTTGGCTCAAATGTAACATTGCTGGAAAAAATTAGACAAGGTTAGAAAAGAGAGCTTTGCTATAGCTATAATCCTCACCTAGATTAAATTGATACCAACAGTGTTATTGACCTTGGCTAAACCATTTTCCCTTGATTTGTAACTTTTTTCACTATTTTCAGTGCTGTCTCGCTGGATGATCTATAGAAGAATCACATTTTGGAAGGCAAAAAACAATGAAAAAATATATTTGTAAGAAAGCATACTTACCAGTTTGTCCTTTTCTGGCAATTGCTTCCACACCTCAGCCAGTTTTTTACTAAGTTCCCCAAAATCTGGCATAAAAGTAAAAAACCCAATATAATAAAGGGTTAGCTATTAACACAGAAGACTGATGAGTACAAAAACTGGAAAAATGGTTTTGAAAATTAGATTTAAATACTGCAAGATTCTTCCAGAAAACCAAACCTAACCCCATCAGTTTTCTTCTGATTTTTTTCCAGACGGAAGGGGAAGGTTTTGTGGCCCTGAGATAGGCTCAAGTCCTCACACATATGTCTCTGGGGATTTATTCCTAAATCATCTTTCTGGGGTCTTTAAATTTGATCCCACAATATAAGGCCTATCAACTTAGGTTAAACAAAATATGCTCTGTAGAATTTGATAAAAGACGTTAGGTTTTTACCAAATTTCTGAGATGAGAACCAAAGGATTTCCCTGTAGCAGCTCAGCAGCAGTCCTCCGGATGTGTAACACTACCTTTCCATCTGTATGATAGGCTTACACTTTAGAAAGCATGTTCGTGTGTGCCTCGCAGCAACCTTATGGAGTAGGCAGGGCAGTGTTTTACACATTAGGCAAATGAGATTTGTAGAAGTAGCTTGTCCAAGGTCTGTGGTAGTGTTTTTCTCATTTCACTGACTTCTAATACAGAGACAAACACAGTCGGTCCCCGACTTAAAATGGTTTGACTCATAATTTTTCAACTTTAGGATGGTGTGAAAGCAATATGCATTTAATAGAAACCATACTTCGAGTATGCATACAACTATTCTGTTTTTCACTTTTCAGTACAGTACTCAATAAATCATGTAATATATTCCACACTTTATTATAAAACAGGCTTTGTGTTAGATGATTTTGCTCAATTGTAGGCTAATGTAAGTGTTCTGAGAATGTTTAAGATAGGCTAGGCTATGATGTTCAGTAGGTTACGTGTATTAAACACATTTTTGACTCACAATATTTTCAACTTTTGATGGGTTTATCTGGACATAACCCCATCGTAGTATCGTAAGTTGAGGTGCATCTGTACGACAATATAATACGAGACATCTTATTATAACTCTACATCCAAGGGCAGTTTGAAGAAAAGGTCAATTGTAGAATGTTGGCAATGAATAACTATATCTTTGTGTGCATTTATATATGTACTATACTTTATAACAATCTTGCAGTTTCCTATCTTATCATCTTGAGAAATATGTAAAAAAAAAACAAAAACCCTCATCTCTTTTGTGGATGGGGTAAACTAAGGGAAAATCTAAAGTGATCTACAGAACTGAGGAAAGGAACTGGATTTGTATGCTAACGCTACAGGAAGAAGTTGCCTGCTGACAATGAATTGCACTGCTCCAGAGATACAAATGGAAAGTAAAACAACTAAAGACCAGAAGTGCTCTTACCTATCCCTGGATGGTCAGCCACAATGGTTACACGATACTCTTTACAGAACACCTGGTAGGCCGACATATTCTTCTTTTTTGGCTAGTGCCACATAGAAAATAGAACAGGGTAAGACTTGATTAGAACCCAAGTTTACTAACCCTGAAACTATGGTAACAAAATAGAAAGACTACCTACACTTTTCCATCAAGGGAAGAGTTTTAAATTACTAACCAGCTTTCCTAAATAGGAAAATTAATTTTTAATCCATGTTATTTATCACTCAGAGATGAATATCAGTTTTGATTTTAGCAGGTAAAAACCACGTGCTAAATTATTTTTACATTTTTCAGGTTGTTGCAACTATATGCTCATTATTTGTAAATCCCTTCATTCTCCCCCTATACAATTCCATGTTACATATTTCTTTTAGGACTAAGTGCTAAGAAAATCTTTACCTCTCCTGGGTTGTCCGTTTTTTTCATCTTTCAAAATCAGGACCATGTAATTTCCTTTTAAACTTTAGCGCCAGAAATCTAAGAGCCAAATCTATGTTCTTTTTGTTTCTCTGGCTTTGATTTCTAATCTTATAATTTCCCTCACCCTGTTTTTAATGTTTATAGTTTATCATTATTTGATTATTCACATTCTTGTGGTTCAAGGTGAGAAATAAGTAACCAAAGACAATTCCTTGGTAGTCAATGTCAGACAAACCCCTTTCACCTTTCACTTCAACAAACCCTTTCTTTGTACTACTTGAAGCATGTTTGTTCTTCACTGTATTATGACAATGCCAAAAGGAGTGCATGAAATTTTGAGAAACAAAAATCAAATCATTTTCAAAGCCAGTTTGACAAGGGATATCCAAAACAAAATATTATATTTCTAGACATTCCTTTTTACAACTGTTCACAGACTAAGGGAAGAAAGTTTTCCCACCTGAAAAGGGGTATTAGATTAAGTATCATCTGTCCAAATCTCTCATTTTGAGAATGGGGAAAAAATTAACTCAGAGAAATAGTTTATGCTGAGGGTACCACAGCTAAGCTAATTATAATACCACAATGACTACAACCCAGGTAGCCCCTGATTTTTCAGAGCTATGCTTTGTGATCCAAGGAAGAAAATATGTTGCTTCCTTACAGAAAAAGTTACTATTTAAAATGAAGTGTGAGGTCCTGCATCTCCTGCTAAGGACTCCTCTGTTTCCTCCTAGTCCTTTCTGCTCCTGCAGTTATTAAGATGACATGAATGTTTGGTGCTTTAAAAGCCACTATAAACTTTTATATGCCTTAAGAGTCAGATTTTATGACTAAAACCAAACCAACAACACAGCCCTGCCTCAAGGACTGTGCATCAACAGTTGCATCTTGTTTTAAACAAAGCTTGATCATGTACTTGGTTTACCTGCCTTAGTTCTTAATGTTTTTACCATAAAATAACTACCCTCAAAGGACAAAGACTGGCTGAGACTGATGACAATAAAAAGCTGGTGTGATGGCCCTGACTTTAATTCCAAAAGAATTCTGAAATCATTCTGATGAATAGTAACATTCCCAGAACACCTTCCAAGATAATACTTTGAATGAGATAGCACTTATTTGGATATAAAAATTGTGGCATGTTAAAAACTTAGCTTCAAAATTTTATACTAATCTTAAAAATGGCTTGTCTATAGCTTGACATTACTAGAATACATGATGAAAAAATAATTTGTGGAAGCCTGTATTTTACCAAATCTTTCCCAACTGTAGAATCAATCTCACTACTAAATACTGAGAACATTAGAAGGAATATGTGCTTGAGAGATTTCATAGCCCAGTTGGTCATATTATAAAACTTGCAAGGAAGGCATTTTAACAATGTTTTCTCAAACATGATATAATACTGTAAAAGGTTAATGCTACTATTCTGCAAGGCTATCTATGGCTGTAATATAAAATTAAAACCATCTTTACAAAATTAATCAGAGTTCTTAGCCAATATACTACACCCAAATTTACATAATGAAGAAAGAGGGGGCCGGGCGCGGTGGCTCACGCCT